TCTCACAAAATGCTAATGTGTTTTTTTCCCTTCCTGCCTGAAAAGAATGGGCAGGGACTAATGATTGCAATTACATTTTTTTAACTATAGCTGAATTGCATTGTGTGTTACGCTTCATCTACTAAGGAAGATGATCTAAATTTTATTTACATAGTACAGTGGCTACCATTCAGTAAAACTAAATTTAAATTTAAATGGAATTTGAAATTAAGGTGTTAAAGTGGATTGATGGGTGTCTATAGACTGAGCTTACTGAGCAAATGACACCAAGTTCTGTGTTGATTTCATAAATTTAATCAAACATTAGAATTCTTTGATTGAGGTGTGCAGATTGTAACAGCATCTGGGACACCATGTTTGAATTGCATCCAACTGTGTTACATGAGGCTAAAGTTAGTGGTGATAGCGGATTTCATCTCAATGAGTTGTATAGGATTTTTATTGTATTCTATGACAGAACATTTGTTCTGTTATAGAAACAGGGGGACATGAATGGAATTGATCTGATAGGCAAATTTTTAGTTTGGATCTCTGCATTTACTTTTCGGAAAAAGAGGTTATTGAAGTTAAATCAAAATACATTAAATGTTTTACGGTGTATTACCAGCATTAAAGATGAGCTAACTATTTGGATATGAAATAAGTAAAATGTATAAATTGAATATACTAAACAAAATATTGACTATCAAATAATTTACATAAAATAGTGTTCTTAAACTAAGGAAGGTGATCATTGGATTGTTGTATCTCTATTCATATGTTTTAAAATAAGTTGTTTAACTAAGACATCCAGGAAGGTCTAAACTAAAGATTTACATCATTTAATAAATTTAGCTGTATTGAATCTCTCTCCAAAACTGAAAAGGCATTGATAATTGATAAACAATATAAAAAGGGTAATACATTATTCAATTAAATATTTTATAAATAGGTTTTCAAATGAATAAATGGATCAAAGGTAAAAAAGGTTGAAATTTTTGAGATTTAAAATATGATTGGAATAAAGTAGGTCATTTTTATATTTAGTGACTCATGTAAAGCAGGCTGATCATTTTTAAGGTTTAAAAAATAGAAAATATGATGATTGAAATTAAATTGGTCTAAATTGGAGATTTACAAATTAACAATTGTGGAACTGCTTCTAAAATACAGTTAAGTTTTGGGTTCAACATGATAGGAAACTTTCATTTCTCATGTAGGCCTTATATAAAAAGAGGGTCAAAGGATTGATAAAATACAACTCCAAAGTAGCAGATTTATAATACAAAAGGAAGACAGTGAAGCTGTCATAAAGTGTAGGATCAATCATTAACCAATCAACAGGGTTCTCTCCATATGAGCTCCAGACAGGACGGATGTTTCCAGGACCTGTTACCCACATTCCAGGATGGAAAGGTAAGCTTGCACATTTATCTCATAAAGATTTTTTCAATGAGTTACAGGTCCTGGCAGCAGAATTTACAAAATACCAGACGACACAGGAACGTCCAGGCTCGGGATCAGTTCGGGAATCGACTGGGTGCGCCTGATGGTCATCAAAAGAAAGTGGTCTGAACCTCGCTTCGCCAGACCATACCGAGTCGTGGAGAGTACATCTCATGCTGTCCGTCTACAAGAGAGAAGGAGACACGTGGTTCCATTGGAGTCAGCTGAGGAGCCACAACGCACGCTGCAGGGCATACAGGAGAATCTACAGTCTCAACCTGCGGTCGAGGAGTGTCTGAGGGCCATCACAGCGCGGAGGAGGATCTGCATTTCCGGGCAGAAGTCTGCCAAAACCACTTCATTTTCCTGAATTACAAGGCTTAAAAGGCCCAGACAGGCACAATAATCCTGTTCCGGTGTCCTTCCATTGAGAAAAGGAGATTGCACCCTCTCCTTAAACTCACTGAAAATTGGAGTATTACTCCAATTTTCAGTGAGCAACGGACACTCAGGTGAAAACCTGAGGTTTACAACCGAGGAGGAACACGTGAAGGATCCAGCTACAAGATCATCATTAACTTATCTTCTCTTTATTGCGTGTTTTCGTTTTTGCGAACTCTTCAAGAACATTCGTTTCTTTTTGCGCGTATTTTTGGATCGTTTCCTGACGAAGAATTCATATTCATTTTTGAAAGACTATCGAAGGAGCATAGAGACGAACTCTAACTTCTTATTGTTGAATTGTGAAAAAAAAAGAAAAAAAGGTCTTTTGTAATTTTTATGTGTTTATGATGTATTTTTTTATGTTGTTATTGTTTTGTATTGACAAATTGTAATTTTTGTGGCGAGTATTGTCTTTTGAGTCTGCTGAGCATTTTTTGGTAATTTCGAGATATCTTGCTTTGGTTTTCTAATTTTATACTTGGGCTAATATTTCTATTGTGTGTTTTCTTCTATTGACATAACTGAGTTTTATGATTTTTCATGTTTGATAAGTGAAATGTATTTTTAGTTTAGTTTTTACTGGTTAAAATTTTGTGGTTCATCAGGTGAGTATTAAATTGTTGGACAGCGCAAGATACATTTGATAAGTTTAGATTATGGAGTTCAGCTTTAGACACATGACCTGGCAGTGGACCTAGGAGGTGCTGTTTAAAAAGGGGACTGTTATAAAATTGGGCTAATGTTTTAGTTTTTTAGTATACTAAATAGTTTTTTGGTTCCTCTATTAGAAGGCTTAATCATTTTATTTGTGAGGTCTGTATGTCTCAGACCTCAAAACGGGGACTGTTAAAGAAAAATGATTATTTTTAGACTTTATTACAGTTAATCTTATGGCATGTGTAAACACTCTCACTTGAACATATGTCTTAAATTTGAACAAGGCTGTGTTAATGATTTAAAACTACTAATGGGTAAGTATTCAAAGCACAGGAGGCCTTAAAATGAGTATCTCCTGGGGGCGAACATTATTTAAGCCTGCAGGAGAGATTTCTGCTTGGTTTACAGAAGGTCAAAAGTCTTCCAGAATAAACAACCAGGGATGGTGAGGCCCCCGCATTTCACAAGCTGTCTGTGGGAGCTTATCTTGTGTTTTATGACCCTGGGAATTCTAGATGCCAGGACAAGCTTTCCGCCTTTTCTTGTTAAAATAAAGAAGCAAATGACCCCAGATGTTTGCAGTAAATTAGGTGAAGCTCAGTGTCAGAGATGGCTCCTGGTTGGAGGACCGAGGGCCAGCCCTTTTTGAATGGATTAGATACAAGAGGATAAAGCTTTCTAAATAGAACTAAAAAATCAGATTTTGCTCTGGCAAACTCTCCAAAGATGTCTTGTACCTCTTTGCTTTCTTTCCTCCTATGTCAGGTAATGGAATGTATGTCTCTGTTGTTCTGCAGTTTCTGGTGTAGGTTTGTGCATTGTCTTATTTCTAAAGTGTATGCATTGTCTTATATTGGATTAAACTCTAATTCTGTGACGTCAACACGCAATGTTGGTTTTATTACCAAACGCAGCTCGCCGAGTGGACCTGGGGAAGGGAAGAATCAGAAGCCAATCTTTTTCCAAAGTTAACTATGTTAGAATATTTTCTTCCTTTACAATATATATATATATATATATATATATATATATATATATATATATATATATATATATATATATATATATACTTTTCTAATCAAGCCTGGTGTTTTTGTAACATGTGCCAGTCATAATTGTATCGTAAGATGTGTAAGTTAGCTTTCATCTGGCCGACATTTCAATCAAAGTCAAAGTATTTCATCCTTATGCGGGTGCCAGTTCATTGCATGTTCCACTATTTTATTTCTCTTAACAATAGTCACAAATCTGAAATGGGCTTTCCTAGCATGAGTTTCTGTTCTTTCCCGAATTCCAAGGTTCTGCAGCTTCCCATTGATTCCATAAACCTTTCCTGTTTTCCCTCTTTAATCATTCTTTTAAATTCTAATTTGCTCATCCTTCATGTCAAAAGCATCTATTTTTAATGCATCCTTTGCAATCTTATCATATGCTTTTTTATTCCTAACAGTAATAGCATCCATTATGTATTTATTAAGTACCATACTGGTTGCATTTCTTTTAGAATGCCTCATTTAATATCAAAGAAACTTTTGCATACGTGGGCAATTATGAACTTCTATCTGGACGCATATAGAAGTGCCCTCAGTGGTCCCATTTTCTCCATCCATTGCAATATTGCCAGTATTTCTCCAGTTTTTACTGAAGGTTCAACATTTATTCATATATTTACTGTTATGAAATTTGGAAACAAAAAATGCAATACCCAGACTTTCACTTAAAATCTTGGATTCACGTGTGTGTGTGCGAATCTAACTGGAGTAACCAGCAACATGTGCACTGAATTAGTCGATTAACAACATCGATCTCTGATCAGATTAACCCTTCAAACCATCTCTAACTGTCCTCTCACATCAAATTAAAAACCTCATGTCATCAATGACTAAATAAAGTCACAAATCGAGACTCTGAATCACACTGATAACATCATACCAAATACAACTCAACTCAAAAATCTTTTTCTACTGCATTTTTGCACCATAAATTTGTTTGTTTTTGCACTGCTCTGAACTTTCACATCAATGCGTTTTTGCAACATGCTGGAGATGTTCCTTTTAACTGCTATGCGGCTGCTCATTCACTGTGTAAATGAAATCTTGTTTTGTGTACACTGTTTATACAAAATGTCAGACTTGTCTAAGTCTAATTAGTGAGTTACTTAAACATGCATTTGAATACTTTCCTTAATTTGGATGTTCGATATTTTATGTCCTTCATGTTAACAGTACTTTTTTCCATCAAAAAAGTTACATTTTCCAAAGCATTTGCTCTGTCTTGCAAAATTCTTGCTTTAGGTTATTACTAACAGACCCATGTTTACTCAGTCAAAGCAGTTAATGTTTTTAAAAGCCATCCTCTACTGTGGGTCCCATCATCAGTTGCAGGTTTATGTTTAAAACGACGATCTAAAAACACATTAGAGGCAGTTTCAGTTCTATTTTCAGCAATTCATTAAAAAAGAAAAAAAAAGTTACTGATTTATCACAGCTTGTTTATTTAAAAAAATGACAAGTCACCAGGTAGTGACATCACCATACTCAGTGTACAATATAGCAATTTCATTAACAAATATTTTGTAACAGACAGTATATTATTACATAATATCTACATTCAGAACATGACCCCCCGTTTCTCCCTCACGCACAGGAAGGAGTTAGCACTATACACAGGGGTCTCTGGGTTTTCACACAAGGAAACCATTTGTTGCATTAATGATATTTCACAAAGAAAGTTCGGACAGCCAAACCGGTTTCTACAGACAGCCTGACAGACAAACAGCAGACAAGTGGAAACAGGATTGGGAAGAAATACAAATGGGTGTGCCTTACATGTACATAAATACTGAGCTGATAAAACTAAATGATCTGCATGTCTGTATTTTTTTGTCCCTTAATTTAAAAACACAGAAAGAAGGAAATCTAACTTTCCCCTGTTTGAGTTCTGAACATAAATAGATGCATCAACAGATCTCAGTCCTGCTGGTCCACTCATACATCTAAGATGTAAATAATAAAAATAACTGTAACCAGATCACTTTACTACACTGAGGAGTATTTACCACACCGGTAACACGCTTACAGGATTATGTTACATCCTTATGAAGCTGCATGGTGTACGTATGCATGTGACAGAAACAATGACAAACATACAGCTTTTGTGCAAAATGCAGGACTAGTGATGTTGGTATTACAGCACAGAGGATGCAGCCACATGATGCTGGCATTCAGGACAGCGGTTCCTTGACAGAAGTGCAGAGGAGCTCAGGGTTTGGGCTCTGATAGGTTTGCGTATGTCTCACTGCAGCTGGACGATGTGCTGAGGTTTCCAGAGCCGCTGCCTTCTGTAGAAAGCACAAGCAAACACTGAAGGGAGCTCTCTAAAGGAACTCAATGTCTGTTGGTTTTCTTTCAGGTGATAATGCTCGATTAAATACCTGAGCTGCGGAGGGACTGACAAGACTTGGACTTCCCAATGAGATTGATAAGATTAGCCGCAGCCATCCAGCCTTCCTTAGATGTGTTCAGGTTGCGGACAAACCTGTGTGCAAAAGCAGTGTTACTTTTTGGGGAAATCAACACTGACCTGCAAACTCATAAAAAATGGAAAGTAATTAATATGATTCTATTTCCTCTGAAGCTATTATGCTATTATTGTTTGGATATTACATAAATAGAGTTAAATTATTTTAAATGCTAGTCTACAACATTTTAATCTAAGGTAGGCTGTAGTACATAGTAGGCAACAATATTTCTGCCAATTTTGAGGTGCATCATTTTATATTCTAATCTTCTAAAAGCAATATTTTCACTGTTTAATTTTCTGGGGTATAAACCAAAAACATTAACAACAGCATTCAATTAAATTAAGATCAATTCAGAATCTGACTAAATGACACCTGACGTACTAAAGTCTTAGAGTCAGTTTTATTTATCCATTGGTTAAAGCATGATGCCATTAAAGATACAAATACAACAGACAATATAAAAATAGTAAATATATCGTAGTAGAAAACAGCAATAAAAAAAAGTTGTAATGTCCTGGAATATGTTTGCGTTAGATATAAAAATATCTGCAAAGTAGAGACCTAAGAAATGACTAACAGTAGGTGACTTAGATTGGAGTTTATAAATAATGAAAATTACAAAGGCTAAAGTCTGATGTTTAATGGGCTGTAAGTGGAAAATAACAGTGATTTATATAGATAATAAAGGCTTTATAACACCAGTCTGTGTGTAAATCTACATTAATTGTGTTACACACTTAAACACATTAGCGTTTCAGTTAAATATGAATTTGTTGAATATGACTTCTTTGCATTATGACTGCATTATGTTTGTTCAATTTTTAATTAAAATTACTAAAATAAAGAAGTTTTCAAACAACATACACTTTTCGTCAGATGCAACAGGTGATTTATTCATATTACGAACGCTCAGAGCACACATGGAGATGGTATGAACACCAAACACTTTCCTGATCAGTTTATCTTTTCCACAACCATAAAATTCAATTTGATCTTGAAATAATCAGGACAAAATTTTATTTATTTTATTTGTTTACATTGTTTAAAATCGACAAGGTGCCTAGAGTAGAGTAAAGGATTTGCCCTCACCACTGATCATTGTCCCCCTCCTTTACTAGCTTCACCATGTCTCCACTCTTCACCAAAATCTCTCCTGCAGCTCCCATCTCGCTGTCAGCCATTGCAGTGTATTTCCCAGCACTCTGTAACAACACAATAAAAAAAAATAAATAAAAAAAAATCAGATTTTGTTTCCATCAAGAGAAACATCTACATGAAATGCTAAAAGAAAACATATCAGGAGAAAATTAAGAAAAAAATAGAAATAATATTTGATGGCTAAACCCTGCGACCGACCAGCTTCTTGATGTTTTCATCCTCTGGATCAGAGTTCAGAGGATCCTCGGCGCTGGAGTAGCCGTCTTGTTCGTCCAGTGACAAGGAGGTCTTATTCCATCCTGATCAGAAAAAAGCCAGACAGTTGTTTCAGCTTAAAAACTAGAGCAGTTGTTTGAAATTTGTAATCCGCCTTTAGAAAAGAAAAACAGAGCTAATCCCAGAGATCCAACTACTGCTTCCTTATATCCACTACGAGTGTCCAGATACTGGCATGCATGTTTAAGGGTCGAGTGACAGGAAAAAGAGTCAGGCAACCGTTCTCTCCGTGTGAGTGGAATTTTCTATCATATTCACTAAGAAAAAGATGCTCCATGTGAAAGGTCTGCAGCAGTGAAAGAGTGGACTAAGACAAAACCAGCATGAGCAAGCCAGTGCCAGAATACCTCTCCACTTTGTCTGTAAGAGACTAGAGGTGCTGAACCACCTGGCCCTGGTCAGGTGGAGGGGAGGAGGACCTGAGGGACACGAGGTACAGCTCAGCCCCATTTAGCTTTACAAAGTCAAACTTATCAATCCTTGAAACCACGACTGTCCTTCCAGTGTAGAGGAACAGAACAAACAGGTACCTCTGAAGCCAAACGGTGTGGGATCACTCTGCCGTTTGGTGCTGTGATCTGGGCTGGTGGGAGATCCTAAATGGAGAAAAGACACAGAAGTTAAGGGATGAATAACATCACCAGCAGAATGTTGTTTTCTTTAAGGATAACCAAGCAAAAAGCACAACTTTAATCCAACTTAGAGAGCAAAGAAAAACAGATTGAGGTACGGCTGCAGAGAAGAGCACTACCTCTAACGCAGAGGGAATATTAAAGCAGGGGATTTAACTCTGCATAAAGTGGTTAATCTAGACCTTTATCACAGAAGATATAAGCAGTATATTTACTCCAAATTTAAGGTGCCAAATATTACATCAGTCAGTACTTGTTAAATTGACCTTTAAATTGCTTTCGCTCATCAGGTGACAATATCTGCTGTGAAAAAGGCTTTGTGGCTAATGGAGTAAAGGGGGGTCTAGAGCTGCTTGATACCTGAAGATGGGCAGATTATCATGGGAAATGTGTAACATTTGTCATCAGCGGTTGAGGGCTCTGCAGATATAAACACACCTTTAAAAGATATCCGTAACAAACATTATTTATCCTAAGTATAAAGTACTTTTTGTGTTTTTTTTAAGGCCCCTTTACACCGGATTAATACTCGGGTTCCATCAACTTTGAAGGTCTTTGCATCTGGACAAGTTTGGGGAATCATAGCACCTATTTTAATACAATAATTCTACACAGAAATTGTTTCTTTTGTTAATTTGTGAGGTTTCTGTACCTGGACCATCATGATTAGACTTGCTTGTCGGCAGCATGAGAATGTGCTGCTAATATTTAAAAAATCATATCATAAACCCAATAAGCTACTGCTCAATCATTTCACCTCTTCACTAAATATAATTAATGAGTTATTCAACAGTAATGTGGAATGTTTTGTATTTAAACTGCAGCCGAAAAAGTCTATTTCCGAAACGATGCACATTGCATTTTTCCTCTGCTGTAAATCAGACCCCAGAGGGGATGCAGTGCATTTTAAACTTTGTGTGAATTGCAGAATGACAATAATTGGTGGTATGATGCAGCCAGAGCAGCAGGACCAGATCCACAATGCAGAAGTGGTACCAAAAACATCACACCTGTCCAAGCTGTACGCTACAAAATCCAGCTGAATCGTTGGATGGATAAACTGCTTGCTGCTGCCTATCAGTCGTGGGCATGTAGAGGTTATATTCTTAGTCCTGCATATTCTTAGATGAACGTATTGGTTTCAGAGGCTGTGAATTACATCTAAGATCTAACTACAGCTACCTGCTGCTTAAAGCAGCACATAAGAAAGAGATGTGCTGAAACATGAAAAAATAAACACCCTGTCCTCACATTAATGCTTCCAACAAAGGGATCATATCTATGCTCTCCTATAAATATAGAAGGTGTTTTAACCTCCAATATCTGTTTCAGCATAACTGTAGAGGAGGAAACGCTGTTAGTGTTTTTATCAGCTTTTCGGAAAGATTTTCTGCCAAATTTCTGAGCTGTTACATTTAGGTTATAGGGATATTTAGAATTTTTGTGTGATGCCTTTTTTCTGTAATTTCTTGTAAGGTTAACATCAGTACAGGTGTATTTTATTGTGAAGCTTACTTTTATGTTGAAAGGCTTATTTCCTGTTTTTATTTTTTTTCTGTAGACAGATACAGACTGCAGGAGGATTGTGCATTATGGAGTTACACAATTTTTGACAGTGTATACCAGTGTATACCGTACCGAAATTTTTTGTATATTAAATTTTCCGTTAGGTTATATCCAAGTAACATTAAATTTGGAAAATTCAATTGCAGGAGTGCAATTAGAATGACACAGACACTGGATCTGTTGTCATAACATGAGCTAAAGCACAGGCGTCTTTTAGATACTGTGGTCCAGTATTATTCCAGTCTAAATGAGGACCTTGGGGATTTATGGACTATATACTTAAAGGAGGCCGGAAAAAAACACCTGGCTTTCCGACATAATAACAAACAATTCTTCACTGAACAATTGTTTTTGTTTTATTTATTTTTTTCTTTCTGCTAAATCAAATTCCAGTTTTGCAGTGATATCATACAGGGTTTGGAAAATAGGCTGAAAACTTACCTTTCTGAGTTTTGAGGTTACTGAATCCCTGTAAAGTAAAACGCTTTTTAGCCACACCCGCTCTGTCTGAGGTTGGGCTCGTCACTGCCTCATCTGACCCCAGGAAAAAAAATCGATAAGAGGGAAAATCAGAAGCAGGGGAAGAAGAAGGATTAGCTGAGCGAGGGAGAAAACCATCATGGAGGGAAGAAATGATTGGAAAAACAAGTAGTTCAAACATGGATCAGTCAGACGAGGATAACAAATAAGGCCGACAGTAACGTGCAGAAGAAATGCTAGAGGCAGAGGTGTTAAATGGATATTATTCTAAATGGGTCAGGATGCCACTTTAGTTTCTAACTCACCTTTCACTGTTAGCTTTGGAGAACAAGAGATGAGATCAGGGCTACAAGGCTCAGCCTTCTTCTCCTCTCCCTTTTTAACCTTCTGACTGGTCTTAAACGGGCTGTAGGTAGATATAAGAAAAATTCAGTGAGTTAAAGATATAATGGAGGATGTTATTTTTCCTTCACAATAAGTGGTCCTCCTAATTGTCAATCATTCTGGTAATATGTTTACATAAGGCTGTCCTACGTGCTCATCCCTATTTTAGCTTAGTGGTGGTGAGTCTCACATAGTGGAAAAATTGCATATCTTCTTTTGGAAAGTAAGTTTGTATGAGAGATGCAAACAGCAACTTTTAAACATAGCGTGCATGAGGAGAAATTCTCTTGTGCATGCTCTCGCACATGTTTAATAGGTGTTCCCTTTCAGGAGCGGGTACAGGGTTGTATATGTGCATTTTTTTAAGTGGAGAGGGCGGGTCTTTTCAAAAACTCTTGAAAATTCTCCACTATGTCTTTAGTATTCAATGCTCATAAGAAAATATTTAATTGCCTACATTAAGCCAGAGGAAATAATCAGTCTGTTATATAATGAAACAGTCTCTGGGGAGTAGTGAACTAGAAATATAGAGGCTGTTATTTAGATGTAAATACACGTTTGCATGGTTTCAGTTGCTAAAGACAAAGATTTAGCTGATAAAAGTTAACATTCCCAGTTTTTTTTTATTTTTTTTATTTTTTTATGCAAAGCACCAGTCAAGAGAGAGTGATGCTTTACCACTCTTTATTTTGTTAAATAAAGCTGAATAGTAGGGCTGAATGATTAATCCATGAAATCATTGAATTTTCTGTTTTATGAAGATGATATTTTATGAAAATTTAGATTTTCTTTCCTCCAATCCACCTCTTGGGCTTCCATAGATTAGGGTGACCTCAGTTCCTCACTTCTTTTTCTTAGATGCATAATTATGAATAATAATGTCTCTGAATGTGTAACACCACATGGTTTGCAAAACATTTAGTTTGGTATATTTTTATTATTTGTTGTTTACAATATTTTGCACAGCTTAGATTTTGTTGTCCTTCAAATTAAGCTAACCTCCCAAGATTAAAATAAAAGCTAGTTTTTAAAAATAATTTGTGTCATATGTAATTTTCATTAGGAAGCTTAAAGGAAAAAAAAAACACTAAATTGGATTTGGTAGGAAATAAATTCAGAGAATAGACTTTTAAAGCTGTATGTGTAAAAATGGCTGGAAATACTAAATATCTATTTATCAAAGTGAAGATACAATTAAGCAGAATAAAAATTTGGATGGAGAAATAAAACCTTACCTGAGACTCACTGTTCCAGATGGCACTGGGGGAAACTGAAACACTTGGTCTGGCGCCCTCTGCTGGCTGGCTTCTGAAAGACACCAAGAACGTTACAAGTTTGTGCGCTTGTGCGGCTGAATAAAACATAATGCTACATGTAGAGTTCGTTTTTTCTCTTTTCTTACCTCTGCAGGCCTCCAGCTGGGTTGTCAGAACCTTCCTGATCTCATTAACCCAGGTGGTTTTCACTTCAGCAGATGGTGCCTGAAAAACAGCATCAGAAAAAAAAAATATTTAGAATTAAACAAGAAACTGTTTTTTCCCAAAAAATTAAAAAGTATTAATACATTTACCTGAACAATATAAACCTCTTCTCTGGAGCTGGACCAGATTTCAAACTTCTTGTTGTCTCCCTTTGCATTCTCAGTAAACCCCACAGCATTCATCTGTTAAGAAGGGTTGAAGAACATAAACTCTTACTAATTAAGCATTGAAACCAGTGAGGGAATAATGAGGGATCGGGAGGAGCAGCTTACACTCAGTGACTGTTTGAAGCTGTATGAAGGAGCTTTTTCGTAGCCTTCCCCGTTCTCCTCCCTTCTCTTACAGAAGAGGAGAGCCTTCTCGTGGAGAAACAGGTGCCTCTGCATGGGTTTGAAACGAGCCAAGTCTTTAACTTTGGCGTGACCTTTCTTGTGCTCAGTCCAAACGCTGAATGACCCCTGCATGAGGAGCTTACCCAGCTCACTCAGATTACCCTGAAAAGGAAAGATAAATATTTTGGGAAAGACTGATATTGAATGTTATGTTTCTTTTAATAATTAGTTGGGGATTAAAATAAACCATCTGATGAATTTAAGCAACTGCATGATGCAATTGAAGTATTGATTGTATTTGCTGAAGCAAAACACCTGGAATTGTTCCATCCATCCATCCATCCATCCATCCATCCATCCATCCATCCATCCATCCATCCATCCATCCATCCATCCATCCATCCATCCATCTTCTTTACATAATATTTTACAACATTGTAAAAGTTACCAAATATAAAATCCATCCCGTTTTTTATTCTCTCCAAAAAAATCCAAGTTAATTCCACATTTTTAAACGATCTTCTACTGCATCATCACAATCGACCATTTTCGTTCATGTTCCCATGTTTCACCTCATATCCTGTGATGGCGATCAGGTGCATTGAGTCGTTGACAGCCTTTAGGATGCCCAAGATTGAGGTCAATGCCACCTGTAGGTCATCCGCTCCATCGCAGCCTTTACTGTACTTCAGCATTTCCTGCAGACAGAAACAAGTCCTGAGCCTAAAGCTAATAATACTGAGACATCTTCATTTCCAGGGAGGCAAAACAAAAATAAACAAAACCTTACTTTCAGCAGCAGCTGATATTTGGTAATTCTCTGCACAGGCTTCAGCAGGTATGAATCTAAACCCAGCTTATGTTCCAGCTTTTTCTGACATTCCTGAAACCACCAAAAACCACAAAAAGGTTGGCAAACATTTTATAGGATGGAAATGCTTTTGTATTGTTGGAGCAGATAAGATTTACCTGGAAGAAGGCACAGTCAGAGCATTGCCTCCAAAGACTCTCAGACCGAGGTTTATTGTGACAGTATTTCTCGTAGATCTGCAGGTCCGTCATCTGAGGAAATAAAAAAGAACTATAAAAATGCACTATAAAAAATGGCTTCTTAATAAGATGATCTCACAATTAATTTACCCTCTCCAGAAAGCATCTTCCAACTAACTCTGGGCAGTCTGTGTAAAGCTCTAACTCCCGCAGAAAGGTTCTGCAGCAGAAGGAGTTTTTAATAAATGTAAAGGTGACAGCACATAAAGTAATAACCAAAATATCATGTAATGTTGCAGGCATCATCAGCCAGATGGCGCTCATTTACCTTTTATGAAAGTGATAAATTTCTGTCATGTTACCAAACAGAACTTCTTTTTTGTTCTGCAAAGCTGAAGGGATGAGATGGGACATAGCTGGATTATCCATCTCAGAGGCATATCCCTGTAAACACAACAATAATTAAACATGTAGTCACAGCAAAGCAAAGATACAAACAAAAAATCTGAAACTAGGGTGTTTTCAGTGGTTTAAATAAAACACCTGCAGCACACAGAGTAACTCCTCCACATAGGCCCTCTCTGTTTCCAGCAGCTCATTCATTACATGTCTGCAGACAGGGTAAACAAGCAGAAACAGAGATCAAATTAATGCAGCTGTACTGATATGAGATAATGAGATAATGGCTTTCACACAACCCATCTGTTGTGTAATTTGATTAAAGATGAAAGAGTTGGACTCTCACCGCCTGAGCACTGCCAGGTTCTCCTCCTCCTCTAACTGAGACGTATGTCGGCTGCTGCCTTCTTCGCTCGGCAGGTTCCCGTTAGTCTGGAAAACAAACGCAATGAGATTCTGGTAGATCAGCTTTCAGAAGATACAGGGACATTTTACGTCAACAAGCTAAACAGCATCAGGAGACTTACTTTTTCAAAACTGATGGACTCTGAATTTTTTTCAAGCTTTGCTTTGTGTGCTGTAAGAGAGATGATTAATATTAAGAGAAATAATAATTATTATATCATCAAATGTTTCTCACTTGATTTTTTTGTGTCACAATCAATGCATTAGGCTTGGAGTCATGTAGTTATCATCATTGCAGGATTTCTTTATAGTAAAAGCAATGTTTTTTTTTGCGTGAAAGCAAGCACGGAGGGGGCACTATCATGGTGTGGGGGATGTTTTCTGCAGCAGGAACTGGACAATTACCCTGTTTAGAGGATGAGATAACACCAGTGATGTATAGAGAGATAATCTAAGAAAACCTGAAACTAAAGCTAGAAGAATGGTTGATCATCTCATACATTGTCCATTAAAATTTCCATTAATGATGCCCATTCAACCTGACTATTCTTGTAGAGACATAACCAACATGTTTTAAAGCTGTGAATTTTGACAAAAGTGCTTTGAAAACTATAAAACTGTGAATATAAAATGTGATTTTGATGAATTGCAAAACTGCCTAAGACAATTTTTCATTGTGAAGTTTCTTAAAAGTCTGTAACTTGACTTTATTCTGTTATCTGGATTTTAATTACGTTTACTTGGAATGTGGTTTAAATGCCTTTGTGTAAATCTTTTTATTATAGTTGATAGAAGGATTTAATACACGTTTACATGCTTCATTGACTTATTGATTGAGTGTATGTGTTATTTTGGGGTAGGGCAGGTTAGTTTTCATAAACCACATCTGCAAAAAATAAAAATAAACAAAATAATATTTCATGGTTTAGTAAATGTTTGAAATTACAAAATGGTAAAAAAAAAACTAGGCTGAACCGATTCATTGGATTAATTGTGATTAAACAATTTTTAAAATAATCCTCAACCAATTCAGTAATCAATGAATTGTTAACTCTATATAGACTCTAAAACATGTCTATATCTGACAGAGTGACCCCCTTTGAGGAGTAATTATACCAAAATCATAAAACAATACAGTTACTTTTGCATTTAAGATAGTGATGTTTTTTCTCCATTAATTTTCTATATCAAGAACTCCTCAAGTGGAAAAGTTTTAGTTTGACCTGCTTTTAAGTCTGTAAAAAACTTTTTAAGGAACGTTTTGCTATCCGATTGTAAATCTATTTAGTTCAAAAAAATAATTGACAGATTAATTGACTGTCAAAATGATCGTTAGTTGAAGCTCTAATAAAAATATCTACAGTGTGTGAAGTGTTTCAGTTTTAATAACATACATGTGAATCCTTAATTCTTTAGAATTACAGATTGCAGAAATAAAGCAGTTTATTCAGCTTTCAAGTGATGAGAAAACTGCAATAATAGCTTATATTAATGTCTGTGTTTGTGAGGACTCACCAGGCGAGCTGAGTGGTGATTTGATGAAGGCTTCTGGTCTCGGTGCTACTGGCTGCACTGGCCTGGTTTGTTTGGCTGCTAGCTTCTTTAAGCTGATCCTCCGCTTATCGAACATCTCCTGCATGGACGCCTGTTTTTGGTAAACCTTCTCCACTTGCTCCTGTCAGACAGAAAGCCAGCAATGCTGCTTGAGCATCATTTCCGGGGACAGATAGTTTTTATCTGCGGTAATCGTCTAATGTATAGGAAGCAATGCAGCTTGGAGCCTCTAAAGTGAGACCTCATCACTCTATGATGTTAGACACATGACAATAATTGAGTCATATGACAGCTGCATCAAGTTATGATCCTTTGAGAGTGGCAGGGTGACATCTAAATTGCAGTATGTCAGTTTTTTACCCTGAAGTGCTGGTTCAGCACTGCCTCATACTCCTTCCAGATGGCACTGAGGTCAGTCAGTTGGTTCTGGCCTGCGTTGTCCAGGTAACGCTCCAGCTCCTTCAAAGCCAGCTCAGCCCCCTCATGGGACTGACACTTGTCCACTGGCTGAGATGCCAGCAGATAAATGCCATCGTCCACCCATTTTGATGCCTAGAAAGGACAGGAGAGATAAGGGTGAAGGAAAATAAAACAGTAACCAATCATAGATTCTATGAAGCAGGTGCTTCTGAGTTTTCTCACCCTCTCCAACAGATGGTGCAGCTCCATGGCTTTCAGAAGGTAGTCCTTCTTGGCCCTGAGGTTGGAGCTCAGAGTCTCGCTGACTGCTCTGAGCTCACTGCACTTAGGCTGAATGGAGTCCTCGGCATAGTGGGAGTTCTGGATAAGCTCATCGCCCTCATGAGACAGCGCTGAGGCTTGTTCCAGAGCCTCCTGCAGAACAGTAGCATAGAATTGTCAACAGATGTGTCCACAAATGGTTCAATTTAGATGGTAAATTTAGGAGGGAACTGGGATTCTGATTATTAAATTCTGAAACTGTTCTCTTTCCTGTAAATTTCTGGCAAGAAGCAATGCAAGACTTGAGGACAGCTAAACCGACACTAAGCTCTGTTTTAGTTTAGTCAGGCATTCTTTTAATCTTAAAGGGGAACACCGTTTTTTTATATATTTTTTAAAACAAAGCAGCGCGTGTATGACGTCATCCGCATGCGCCAGACTGGAGTTGTGACAGGCAGCCCGGGCTACAGGCAGCTACGCTCTACCCCTATTCATTCGGCTAGCTAATCTGAATCGTTCAATTCCATTTCGAGAGCGATATCATCTGTGGTAGTAGCACTAGACATCTTCCAGGCATGTGAGTAAAACTAGCAGTTCAGCGGACTGGATGAATGAATGGTAGTCGGCGCGCGCAGATAACGTCATCACGCGCCACTTTGTTTTTAAAAGATATGAATATAAAAAATATAACTGCGGATGTCTGGGGGACAGTGATTCGCCTACATGTTATGAATGCTGGCATACCATAAAGGATAAATTATGAACAGTTTAGTTTGTGCCTTCAAGTCGTTTGCCCATAGGAAGACGTTACTTGGATATAACCTAACCGAACATCTTCAGAACAGCTCCACATGACACAAAACTACTGTAATATGGGTGAATAGAACATGATGTAATAACATAAAATCAAGGGGGCAATGTAAACAAAATGGTGTTCCCCTTTAAAGATGTCCAGATATCAGGCTCTCCAAGAGAAATTTATGACATTCTTTACTCAGTATTTTAAGGAACTGTACACTTCCATACAACGTGAGAGACACAACACCCATCAGTTGGCTTTTTTTGGGGCACATTGTGGGCAGTGGTGGCCTAGTGGTTAGGGCATTGCACTAGGATCCCAGAGGTTCTGAGTTCAAAACCACTCCCAAGGATTGCCACTCTGGCTCCCTGAGCAAGACCCCTTAACTCCACACTGCTTCCCAGGCGCTGCACATTCGCAGCCCACTGCTTCCCAAGGGGATGGGTTAAAGTGATTTGGTTGCTTTGTAATGGGGACAATGGAATGACATTAAAGTTCAATTCACAATACTAATACAATTGCATGTGTCTGTGTTATTTCTGTTTTTATTTAGATTCAACTACCGGTAGATAAATTCAGGCTGACATAACTGAATAGACACTCTGTTAAAAATGCATGGAATCTCAATCCCCTTGAAGTCCCATGATATGTAGATTTTAGTGACAAAGCTGTTAAAGGTCACAGGTAGCTCGTATCAGTGTGCAAAATTATGCAAAAATAATAAAAAGTGAAACAAACTCTGGTTAAACGAAATTCTTAACGCTCAGGTGACTTACACAGACGCTCTCTTCAAAGGAGGTGAGCTCACAGTAGATATGGTCAGCATGGGCGGGGCTGATCCCAACTTCAGAGAAGGTCACAAGCTTCTCAGACAGGTTTCCGAGCAGGGCTATTACCTTCAACAAAAAGCGTCTCTTTCAGTTGTCACGTTAGAAGAAGAAGAGGATCAGGTCAGCTAAAAGTGCAGCAGGGTCGGCTCACCTCTCTGTAGTTCTGCTCAAAGTGTCGCAGCTGCAAACACTGCTCCAATTTGGTTTGATGCCTCACCCAAAACTCGTCAAAAGCCCTCTCTGTCTCATCCAGCTGAGACAGCAGTCTGAAAATTACAAACAGGAGGGACATTATAAACAAAAACACACATTGGACTTTAGAGCTTTGCTTTTTCGTTTAAATCGTGTTTGTATGGGCAAGTTCTGTGTTGATCCAGCCTGCTGACAACAAAGTGAATCCATCAAATGTTGCTCAGAATATCAACAGAGCCTAAAATTATCTCTGTGTTGAATGCAGTGAGTTTGGAAATTTCATCTTTATTAAAAATATCAGATCTCCTCAAATGCATTTATAATAAAAATATATATTTTAAAAGATTGACATGTCTGAAGATATAAGGTAGTGTTGGTGCCTTTAACCCGCATTCTCTAAATCAGACACCAGGGGGACCTCTGAGGCAATAGCTTTAAGTTCTGTTTAATGCAGAAAAATGGCGAAAAGGATCAAAGCCTTTTTATGGGGCTAATGTCATGCTGTCATTTTTGGGTTGTCAAAAGATGCAAACTAACTCATTTAATAAATACTTAAGAAAATATCAGTTGGTGTGAAATGAAGCTGTAAAATACAACACTTTTCCAGTTTAATTGATGAAAGAAAATAATAATAATAATAATGCTAATAATTATAATACTTACTAATTGAACTTTATTGATCTCACATTGTAGAAATTTACGTCTGTATTTAACCCATCCCCACTGTGGGGCACCCAGGGAGCAGTGTGGGATTAAGGGTCTTGCTCAGAGACCCAGAGTGGCAGTCTGTGGGTTTCAAACTCACCAAAACCTCAGTATTCCAAGCTCCATACCCTAACCACTAGGTCACCACTCCTCAATAAGACATGATGCTAATTTAATAAGCATGTCTACTTTGTCTGATCCTCAGTAGGGTCAAGCTCTTGAGAGGTCAAAACATAGAAATGTGAACAATTTAATTTGCCCTTAATTTTCATTAACCTCACATATATTGGATGTAAAACATTTTTACAGGTTAGTATGAAGAAATTTATTACAATGAAATATTCATACTGAAATAAAATGCTCTCAGTTAGTTTCAATGGATGTGAAGTCCTCCTTGTGTTGTTAAATGATGCCTGTTGATTTTCACCTTTCAACTATTTACCCGCTTCACAGTTTGAATATCTCTGTAAAATGTGCTTGGATTATGGTGTCTAAGCTAGAAGTGTGATGGACCTTTGCACTGTGGCCAGATTTTCCAGTTCATCCTGGTTCATGTTGTGGTCAGGGTCTCGCATTACAGGTTCATTGATGTTCTCCAGCAGCCTGCTACCTTGATCCAGAGAAACCAATATGTCCCCCTGGATACACACAGAGACGTGGCTCAGCGGTTACAACAAACAAAGTAGCAGAAGACTAAATGTGTTTAGAGACGGGGATACCTTCATTTTGTCTCTCTTGCTGGTGTGTGTGCTAAGCAGGAGGGTTGTCGTCTTGATTTCATTCGGTAGCTCTGTTTCTGCCAGCTCCGTCCCAAATGACTGCAGAGTCTGCGCTGTTCTTTTAACTATCAATGCAAATCCTTCGATATCCTGAGGTGAACAGCAATAACATGGATTTTCAGCATGCAGGGTATTTTCAATATGTGAGTAAATTCCTTCTAAGGGATTTTCAGAACCTCCCTTCCATTTGCATTTACTTGTATCTATCACTTTTGTTTGAAATTGGAATGCATTAGAGTTATGACTGTGTGTGCTTTTCATACAGTCCGATGGGAGATCCACTTCTCATGGCAGTACTCCTGGGTTCCTCCAAGTTCCTGTGTCAGCTGCGTTCGGTCAACATAGGAGTGCAGCTCGCTCACTGAACTCAGCATGATCACCTGAGAACATAATATCCCATCACACATGTACAGATGTCAAAAATATACAACAAAACAAACCATATTCATAAGTAGTTCACATATTTATGAACTACTTATGAATATGTAGTTTAAAAAAAAAGTTAATTAATTTGTAAGTTACATAAAAGGTTTAATGGTTCTGTTGTGGGATGTTTACTTCAACATAATCTCAAAATCATTGAGTTTAGGGCTTTGAGCCAGTGTGAGCAGCCATCTGCCGCTCACACTGAGCCTGGTTCGGCTGGAGGTTTCTTCCTGTTAAAGGGGAGTTTTTTTCTTTCCACTGTCGCTACAAGCATGCTTGGTGTGAGCGATTGCCTTCAAGTCAATGAGTCGATGCAATCAGCTGGTTTTCCTTAGATAGAAAACTTTTAATCAGTTTGATTGCATGATCTGATTGAATTGTCTCTGTAAAGTGCCTTGAGATGGCATGGTTGTGAATTGGCGCGATATAAATAAACTGAACTGAATTGAATTGAGCCGTCCATCCAGAACTTTTTGAACTTGATGAACTTGTTTACCTATGAAAGAATCAAAGCTGAAGCTGGAACCCTATACTTATATTTCGCTAAAGCACCCTCTTCCTGCATGACGATGAGAAGGTCCTGCTGCCGCAAAGTATCCCCAAAGCATAACTCCTCCATCTCCATGCTTCAAACTTAGAATGAGATTATTTCCCTTGAAAACTGCTTTTATGTCAAACTTGTGTTCTTTTCTTTTCTTTTCTGTGTCCAAAGTAGAATATTTTAGAAACATCTGTGTTGGTAAATTTATTTCAGACGTTACAGTGTTTTTTAACACCTTTCTTGCTAAATCTAAGTCTGGTCTTCATGTTATTCTTGGAAAGAAAAGTTTTCCTCCTCGTGCAATTCAATAAAAAAACGTGTCCCTAATTCTACAGAAACACTTATTCAACATTAGCGGGAATCTGACGTAAACTCTTTGATGATATTTTTGGATATTTAAAGACTTCTTTTAGCACCTTTAAGTCTAATTTTGGGGAAAACTTGCTTTGTCAGCAAAAACGTTGTTTTTAATGTCCTTTAATACTATCTACCAATAAATCACTATTTTAATTATTTTCAGAACTCTTCGAATCCTTTACTTAAAGGTTACCAAAGTCTTCTTTCTAAAGGTATTACATAACATTCCCCTCCAGAAGTGATTTTGTATTACATTTCAGTATTATATCAGCTGGATGTGTCATTAGTTTTTTAAATCTCTATGCATATTTTAAATATACATTTGCCAGACAAAATTAGTCCACATCATAAAAGAAGAGAACACATATTAACACATGTAAACCTTAATCTTTTCCATAACTCAGATAGATATATAGATAGACACAGAGATAGCTAGATAGATAGATAGATAGATAGATAGATAGATAGATAGATAGATAGATAGTTAGATACTAAGGGATTTGACTATAGCGCTGCATAGAAACGAATAAAACCTTGAGACAGATTATTCAGAGTATTCATAGATTATAAAAACTGGTTGCACTCACCGGCACCTTCATCTTGAACTCATCCTTGTTGAACTTAAAAAGGATGTCTGATAGAGTTCTCTGCAGCAAGGTGGTGGGTCTTAGAACCAGAACCAGCTGGAGGTTCCCTGGGAAGGACCCCTGAAAATAGATACGGTAAGTAGGTCTATAATAGATTAAAAATATTATTAACAGAGAAATCATCACTTTAACAGAATTTCTGGAATTGTTTTATGCTTTTAAAAAAAAGACTTTTAATGAAGAAAATTTATTGAGATGTTTTTGTTATTGTTACATTTCACAAAACATGAATGATACAGAGGTCTTACAAAGAAAAAAAATGACATTGGCTTAACCTGCAATTTGTATAGTAACCATTTACATGTAAAGATTGTAATTGGCTCAATGACAAATCTTTAAGTGAGGTACTGAACACAAGAAAAAGTTCCTCAACTTACATAATAAGCTAATGTTATTTTTTAATATACTTTGTTTATGCTGCTTTTCTGGCTTCAAGACAAACTTAGAGCTCTTATATATATATAAAAAAAATGATAACCACTTTGATTTAAGAGGATATATTAATCTAAAACTTAAAATCATTTCTCTTAATAATTACATATTCATATTATCATCAATCATCTGTGTTACATTTATGTCTCCAAAAAGCTGAAGTACAGGATTGTCATGATGCTGTGTTTTGACTTAAGTAATCAGACGCCCTCCTGCTGTGGAAGCAGCTGGATGACAGTTAATGGTTGACACTTATCTCAAGTTATCCTATTGTTAATGTGTCCTTAATTAACCATTGACCTAAATGCATGGCTCGGCTAAGCAGAAGTAATGATAAATATATTGTTCATTTAAACCTCTTGGGAAAACTTTACTTAGCTGGATAAATAAATTTACCCAGTATTTGTCCTTCTCAGGGCTGGAAGGTGGAAGATAAGCCACAGAAATGGCTTTTTGGAGGTGGATAAAGCTCACAGGCTCCGGAATGCACAAATGTTTTAAATCACTTTGCAGCAGAACAAAGAATAACCTATTTTTCAGATTGCAAATGATTAATGGCTTTGTAAACATTTAATCAAAAAAGAATCACAAAAAATGTCAGGGTTTTTAAAAACAGAATCTGTTTAGCAATAACATCATGAAGTAAATTTAACCAAAATGTCATGTTAGTTACTTGAGTTTTTAATTAATTGTGTGATTCAGTATAGAGGACTGACCTGAAGCTATTTCCTCCATATTAAAATGCAAAATGTTTTAATTAGAATTGGGTGGATCGATCCTAGTATGGATAACATCGATACCAATTATTGATATTAAACAATACTGGTGTAAAAATATTGATACTTTTCTTTCCTGTACGCAATGTCACATGGCTCAGCAGCGCAGCCAAATAAGCAATGTTTGTTATGGTGTGCCAGTTTTGTTTTATTGTCTTAAGATTGTGTATTGTTTTGTTAATGTTTCATTGATCCATTGTTCAACTGCATAAACAATGCATGAATAAAGCCAAAATGACAAAACCAATAAAAGTTTCATGATATATTAATCTTACATATAGAAAAAGTGCCTTTATCACATCAACCGATAGCGTGTATTTACTTGGTATCGTCTATATATAGTTTTAATCTGTTTTCTTTTTAGTACTTTAGTTGTAAATATCTTTGGGGAGTCACAAATACCTCCTTGTTCATAAACAAAGTTGTTTCAAATCAAAGTTTTAACGATTTTGCTGTTCAACAGCTCTTTTTTATACCAAAAAGAAACTTGGACAAGCTTTTCACACATTTCCCTAATTAAATATCAGTGAGGACAAGGTATATCATCATTGCTAGAATAAACCTTGTGAGATTTTTTTTTTGGAGACATCCAGCGTCTGTTTTTATCGCTACAGTAAAAATATGCTGCACAAGCATAGTATGCATTTTTATGGTCTATTTTTTTTCAGACTTATTAAGACAAAAAATATATATATATATTTTCCAAAACTCAATAGAGTTGCTGTATTTCTCTGAAAAGAGTACCATAAAAAATATATTTGTAGCAGGATGTAATGACTGATCTAAATAAATCAGTGGTTTCTTTTGTTTCCTACAGCTATGGAAACACATTGTGATTGAAGAAAATTGACGGATGTGATTTCACTCTAACTGAGCCTCTAGGGTGGAAGTGATATTAGGGGAGAAACTACTACAGAAATATGATCATTCTCCTCTAACTCTCCATGACATAACAGATATCTTCCACCCCTGGGAGTGAACAGTCTCATTGTTGAGACCTATATCCCTAACAGACAGTTGAATAACTTTTTTAAGCTCTTAGTTTCCTAAACCTTTTTATTTAGAATGTAAATGAGACCCACAGACATGAAGAAAAAAACTTACTGCAATACGAAGTAGTGTCCCCTTGACAGCCGCCCATCGGTCCTGCCTACGATCGATGACCAAGATAAAACCCACGTCTGTTGAAGAAAAGCTGCAACAAAAAACATGACAAAATCTATTTTAAAAACAAAGAAATGATCCAGTATTTCAAGATAGAAGGTGCATGGTTAAAGCATCTAGGTGGGAAAGATCAGTTCGAATTAAAAGTATTTTTCAAACAGCTTACAGATGCTAAATCAAGTAAAAAAAAAAAAAACATTGTGCCCTGCATGGCACAAAAGAGAATCCAAATGCTTTGTTAAGCAGCTCCTTATCTTCTTAGACAGCTGATGCAGTCCACAAAGAGAGATGCTCTGCAGCTTCTGCAGATTTCTTGGCCACCAGCCTTAAGCAATCCCTTGTTTCCCCATGCCTCCCTCCCTTCCCTTCTGCAGCTGCCCACGGTCTCAGAAGTGGGGAACACATCCACCCAGACATCGGCGTGTGAAATCCAGAGACAGAACTTGAAGCATGTTTCAGGTCGATGCACAATCAAAAGACTCCTAGCATGGCCATCAGCTGTAACGTAGGATTGTCCTTCAGCCTCATTTGTTTAAATTCATCCTTCTGGCATACACTAGTCAGGAAGGTTGAAAGAGCTCCAAAAAAACACCTTCCATCTGCAAGAGGTAATGAGATCACCGCCCACTGTCTAGTAGTTCCTGGAGCATACTGCTACAGACCATATAAGATATGAGACTATATTCTGTCTGTATTCATAATTGAACTGTCCAATTAGAGACCAGAAGATCCACGATTTAAGCCAATCATAGGGTTGCAAGTAAACACATTACTGTAGAGGCCAATTAGGAAAGAGGAACTCATGAAAGGAACAAATCATGTTGAGGTCTCAGTAATGATGGAGAGTCTTTACTTTAAATCAATAATTATTAAGAGATGTACCCAAAACAAACAGCGGTGACACCAGCACTGTTTCATTGAGGAGGTTATTTATGGAGGGAGAATATGTGCTTATTTCATTTTTCAGTGATATGTTTGAAGATGACCCTCCTCTGGTGTTGGTTCATTCCTGGTAGGGTTGAACACAGCAAATTTATGTCTCTGGGGAGATGTGGGAGAGATCAAAAGGCAAAGGTGGACAAAAAGATCCAGACCCAGATAATTTACAAGTTCCAGTGAGTGGAGTCTCTAATTGTAGGACTCGGTCAGTGCTCTTTATGGGGGTCAACCACCAGCACCAAGGAACGTCAGGATACGGTGCTATGTAAGCTGAGAGGAAGCAGAGGATGGGGGCCTGTGGTGGCTAATTCCTGGGGAATATGAGGAGAGCTTGGTCTGTGGGGTGGATGGATATATGGTGAGGAGCTCAAAGTAGACCTCCTGCTCCTCACATTGCAACAATCAGATGAGTTAGTTCAGATAATTTCAATCTGCCTTCAGACCTCTCCTCTCTATCCATATTCTAATCAAATCCCAATAAGCTGAGAAACACTGATGTTTCTCAGCTTCAGCACAGCTGGTTCAGGTAATTGTAGTTCAGCAAAAGCCTGTTAATCAGCAACCAATAGAAATCAGCCGTATGGAAGCAGGAAAACCTCTAAATCCTGTAGAATAGCAGTGCTAAAGGACCAAACTTGGACAGGCCTGCACTAAGAGAAGACTAAGAACTCAGTGGGGGGGGACTATATATCTGGTTTTGCCTGAAAACATCCCACAAAATGGAGGGTACCGGGCAAAGGAAATTTCTTTATTTATTTAAAAAAAGTTATGTATATAGTATAATGTAAAGTATGTTTATACTATAAATGACATCTCACTTATATCCCTTTTTCTTATTTCTTAGACAAGCTTTGGGGATAAGTTTTGGGGACAGTTTTATAGAATTGTAATAAGAGCCCAAAAATATCAGGACATACTGATGCACACCAGCTGCAGAATTTCCTTAGAGAACAAGGGCGGTTTGGAAATCTAATGTTCGAATTGGCTCACTATTTTAAAATACAAAATAAAACAAATAGTGCAATGAATAAAAAGGGTAAATTAAGTTATTTTAGAGGACAAAAATTAAAGCAGCGAAGTATTTTTGTGAAGGATCTATCTTTAAATACTCTCCAATATAAGGTAGTTTAATTCAAATTGATCTAAATGACCCAGTGTTGAACCGTAAAAGGATTTACCCAAAGAGGAAAGTGTCAGAGGTTGTATAAAACTGTATATTCTTCCATTAAATGATGGTAAATAATAAACATTTACAATATATATTACATGATAAAATGAAAGTAATATAAATTGAATCAATTAATTGTTAAGTGAGTCTGCAGACAATGTTTCCAAAAACTCTGTATGTAAAAATAACATTAGAATTTGTATTGGGCAATAGAAAAAGCCATTTTATGCATATTATGTATATCTACCATAAATATTAAGCAAAATGTTTCTATTCAAATAGACCACATGAGAGAAGCATACAATTAGTAGAGGTAGATGGAGGGCATCTGTAGAAATTGATTTGTCCTGCTGGGGGCGCCCTTTAGCCATATCTCTAAATACATTATAAGAATTTATAAAAAAATGTTTATTTATTTTGACAAACCTGCTAATAACTGGGAAACCTGTGTTACCAAGACAAACAGTAAGTTGATTTTCAGTTTAAGGCAGCTTGTAACAAAATGAGAAAAATGTATCTTTACTAAAATGAAAGGGAAGGTTTATACTTAACGCTGTGACAAAGTGACAAAAAAAAAAAACTAATTTAAAGAACCTTTTTCATTTTAGATTTATTTTCTAGTAAAAACCTATAAATTTGAAGCAGGCAAAATGTTCATATGAGTTCAACAAGCATCCATCTATGCCAGAAACAGGTCTGCTCAGCGTCTGTATGCATAATTCAGATTCAACCAGAACACAGTTTCTATTTTTGCCCCCCTTAACAGGCTGGATCCGGAAAGCACAGAGCATACATCTTTTTAAATCTTACAGGTAGTAAAACAATGGTTGTTGCTTTCTTTTAACTGCTGAGAAGCTACAGTATACTGTGATCCACTATCACCTATGAATGCTTTATACAGTACACATGCTAAAAAAAAAAAATCTTATTTAGTCTTCATCAGATTATTTTTTTGTTTTGCTTTCAAGTTGCTATTAATGCTAGCATGTCCATGCAAAATTGATTTATCCAATAAGCCTAAAGATGCAGCAGTAGAAGACAGTGGAAGATGAGTAGTGATAGAGGAAGTAAAGAAGACAGCTGTTAATGTCCTCCACTGTCTGTAACAGCCAGTCAGTGATGAAACTCACCTGGGAACACTTGTTAGATAGGTCAGGACGTTGTGGAACTCTCTGTCCGTGATCTCCCCAAATGCTGGAAACTCTGGAAAGACGATGATGGGACTTCCATTATCTCCTCTACCCCCTGGAAGAAAGAAAAGTATCAGAAATGTCCTTGCAAATTTCAAGTCAATTTTGTAAAAACACTTCAGGCCTAATCCATTACGATTCTAAATAGGAGGCGCTAAATTGCAGCAGGTTTATTTTTTTTAGTATGTCCAATAAGTGGGCATGTTTTGGATGATCTACAAAGATTACTTTGCAAAACTGGTTTGGTTCCACCCATTAAAATGAGAAAAGATTGTGTTTATACAAGCACTTTAAGAGTGTTTGTAAAAGAAAGATGAGGTTCCTAGCCATGTGGTTTCGAGGTAATAATGATCAATTCAGTTCAATTCTATTCAAAAATACTATAGAATAGTTTTCAGAGGTATCCTCTGAGTGCTAAAAACAAAAGCTAAAAACAAAATAATAACTTAAGTCAAAGGTATAAAATGAAGAATCTTTCAGAAGTACTAAAACAGTTGTAAAAACTGCAGCCGCAGTTCTCCTATCAACGAATGTGTGCTGTTTAGTCATTAGAGTTTGATCTCTATATTGATGAAGGCAAACACAGAAAGAAAAACTTTGCAAACGGAGTTTCCTGAATTGCAAATGCAAACGACTTTGCACCTTATTTGAAAATCTGTTCAAACAAGTTTTTACATTTTTTAAGACATGTAGACCTTCTGAAGGTCAGGCCCTATGTGTATGCCAATGATGTTACTGTATTGATCATTAGATGCCATATGTCTTTTTGCTGTGCGTTCAGCCATTGTCATGGCCCTTTTTTCCCTGACGCAAGACCTATGCTGCTTGATTTTCCCCTCCATTCATACCATTTCCTGTTTGCCTTTCAAATAAAGGCTTCAGGTACCACAACAAAGAGAAAAAAAACAATTAAAAATAATTTCAAAAGGAAGAGAAGAATGAAAGGACAAAGTGAAGAGGAGGTATGTAAAAACATTCACTGATTTTAAAGGAAAAAAAACACTCTATGGTCGTCATTTTAACAGTGTAAATCCTGTTAATACGATGTCAAAGCAATTAATTATATTTTTAAAAAATTCTTGCCTTTCAAAAAAAGTATTGCTGTGCACTGCTTGCTAGCTGGCTGAAAAGGGGTTATATAGAGTTTCCCCTTACAGACATTCAGGACAACGCCTGATTGGCACATCTGTAAACATTATCAAAAACTGTTTTAAGATATCAGCAGAAGCAAATGACTGAACATGTGTAAAAATGAAAACAAATAAAAAAAGATTTAAACAGAGACGTTGGTTGTTTTTGACCTCAAAAAATCTCACCTCTTACGCACAAACACAGACAACCTGCCTCCAAGCAGCGGCTGCTCTGTCAGCACATGTGACTGGAATATCAATCTGCCTGCTTTTTCTTTGCTTGTCACCCAGGCAACAGAAATTGCATGGTCATGGTTTCAACGTCTGCTTAGATTTATCAAAATATTTCCACCATCTGTGCTCACAAGGTCATAAGGAGAGAGAATTATTTTTATTTTAACCTAGCAGTTACTGGATTAGAACTAAAAATATATCATCATTTAGTGAAGTTTGGATCCAGTAAAGAAGTAACAGAGCAGATATTTGGAGCTACATGTAAAAAGGACAGAAATCTAATTTGAATGGCAAATATGAACCATCCAAAGGGGGAAAAAGTCCAAGTGAATTATGCAAATTATAGATTGGACCAGTTAAAACACAAATGATGACTGAAGACATATAAGTAGAGGAGACAACGGTAACTGACAAGAAAAACAAAAGCATACAGGTAAGCACAGAGGGCAGCTAACAACGTAAAACAATCACCTGTAAGGAAGGCAAACTGCTTTCTGAGATCCGGCGTGATGTCAGCAGCCCGAGGGGGGTTGGTGTCCAGCTGCATGATCTCATCTGGAGAAAAGGTGCAAATATAAATATTCAGTCAACCAAAAAAAACATCAAAATAGGCTAAATTTGCTCTCAACTGATGATGATAACAAAATGTACATTCTGAACATGCACATTTATTTTAATAATTAGATAGATTGCATGTAATCATACTTATATGCAGGAAATTGACTCATTGGCATAAAACGTACAATTGGTGGTTACGATTTCCCCTTAAGTCTATTTGATTTTCTTCTACATATAAAAGTTCCTACAAATAAAATGTTTCCTATATCCATGCTTCTGTTATTACTGCTTTTTCTTTTCTTGTACAGATCTAATGATGAAGCTATAAATGCTTTTTAACTCTAAGAAGTATTTTGCCTTCATAGAAATCAAACGTATCCCTGCAGCTTTTCTGTTCTTATTGCCCCAAAGCCTTTCAGGATACCTGGCCACTCACGCCTTTAATTCGAGGTTTTTCCACTGTCATTATATAATTGCTCAAAATGTGGAGTTGTGCTAAAGTCATCAAATCAATGTCATCGACTGTGTTTTTTCTTAAACCGATATCATTTCACCAAATGACATTGTGTATTGTACCGATGCTTTTACATTTCTTTCCCCAGAGGAAGTCACGTGAACTGATTTCCTCTGTACAGGCCTGTTGTTATTTACAGTGAAGGCAAAATTCAGGCCACACCATGTTGCATGCATTAATGAGATTAGGGAGATTAGTGTTAGTTAGATTAAGATAACAAATCTGTGCTTTGATCTTGGCCTCAGCAGAGGGCAGATAAAATTCGGATGGGTCCAAACCACTTCCCTCCATAAAAATCATACTCACAGTGATCATCCAACATTTCTGCTAATGTTTTCCGGAAAAGCAAATCACCAATGAAAACCATTGCATGTTTTAAGTTAGAAACTCATGATGCACTCATGATGAACCCTGATAAACAGATGAGGCGGTCTTCTGTCTCACTGCTTTGTGTTCTGCAGCCATTTAAATGATTCTCCTCAGGTGAGGTGGTGCTGTACTTTTCACAGATATGAGAAAATCTAAGGTTTCTGCGGAATTTAGGATCAGAGCAAAGAACAAATAGATTGTGTCATTATTCCAAATAGATAATAGCGGCACATTGACATTTTTTATACATTTTCCCAAGAGCATATAAAGGAAGAAAAAACTAAATGTCAAGCAAAACAGGAAGTTACTCACAACAAAACAGTTACAGGAATGTTGGGGGTACTGTGAAACAAATATGAAAAATAAAAACCCTTCCTGAACCAGTCTGAACAGAGAACTACAGATAAGATTCTGTTTTTGAACATTATTGTTCTGACTCTTCCCTTATAATGCCCTGATGGAAACTGTAAAGCCGTGGTTTAAAAAAAAAAAAAAAAAACATTAATGTCCTAACCATCAAATAAAGAATTTGGACCATTATTATTTAAATATACATTTTAAAGAATCAGAGATAATGCCTTTTCTTTACATGAACCTTAGTAATAAAAGGTTAGTTAAAACAAAACAGAACTACATTTTTATATATAAAGCATCAAGTTTAAAGATACTTTAAAGGCTTGGGGTTCCCATAAAAGTGACATCAGTCAGACTCCAACCAATAAGAGTGCAAACAGGATCCCATATGAAAACCTTTTATAGGGCACTCAGCTTTGAAAATAATAATGGGTGTTATTAGGGGACATTACCTTATCTATTATTTAACATTTAAAAATTATGTATATCTAGATGGCAAAAATCAAGATCAATATAATAACAAAAAATACATACTTGCCCTACTGTGAAAAAAAGTTTTACAAAAATGCTTCTATAAGAAATTAATGAAAAACACTCAAAATTAAAACAACCACACTTTTTTGTTACAACATAACCTCAGAACATTAATGCTGATACAATCACTTTTAATTAACTTAGCTTATTAACCTTAAAAAATTGCTTTTTAACTTTTTAACTTGACTTATTTTATTTTTCTTTTTTAGGTTAATTTAAGATAGCATCCAAAGGCTCATCTAATTGGTCAATTGCCAAAATGACACGTACCCTACTGCCATGTAGCAGTATCTTTGCTGAAAGGCTGAATATAAATATTGTGCTTCTAGACCTCAATAACACATGGACTTCATTTGTAAGAGCTAATTTTCCCTATAAAGGGCTAAAAAGGTAGAAAACTGCTGATCTATTTTGATAATGAAATCAGAGCAAATATCACCCTGGGCTATTTTGTTTGTAAAAATGAGCTGTTTTATGATTAACTCCTATTGGTGTTTATGCAACCTTGAGAGCTGTTCTATTAATAATTTACAGTTTTTTACATAATCTGCAATAGAGAATGGGTCTATTGGCCATTAATAAGAGGCCGCTCATAGGTCATTTAGTTTGAGCGACGGACAACAATCGGGTTACTTTATTGGAGATAAAACCGAAATACCGTAGAATAAATAAAATATTCACGAAAAACTGTAGAACAAAAAAATAAGCTAAGCCAACAGGTGCAAAGCAGTTTGTTTACTGATACAAGATAAAAGTAAGTTGGGAAAATATGGCAGCACATGTTACGAAATAGGAATAAGATTTGACCAAGAAACCAACTGACCCAGAGCAACACTGCAGCATCTCAGAGGTTTTATCCAGTGCAGCCTCTGAAACAGATGGTTTTACATCTTAAATGACAGCCGGAGATCACTCAAGTTGACACCTAGGTCACACTAATCTTAACTCAGCATGAAGTAAATACACACCTGCATTTGTGACAACTTGTTCATAAAAACAAAGCTAAGTTGGGAACTTTAAACTGAGAGGAAAAAGTTAAATTATCAGAGGCTAGGGTGCATTTCACTCCCTTGATCTGCAGGAATAGTACTTAAGTTTCTAAATCAAATCGAAATCTAATTCTTCATTAGCCCGTTAGTTGCTAAGCAAGCATTACTAAAACACAGTCATTGTGATTGTTTTGTGCTTTTCAACATAGGCTCCTCTAGGAATACAATATTTGCATTTTTAATTACAAAACCCCCAGTAGTTTGTTCATGGTTTCTATTCTAGGTCAATCTGAAGCTGCTCTCTGATACTATAGTTGTGCCTGCATCCTTTTAAGCTTAGTTCCTACCTCCTCCACCAGTACAGGCAAGTATAAATTAAAACAGCTCCCTGTCTATCTCTGTGACGATTGTGACTTTGTAAAGAGATGTTGCTACTATAAATTAAGGTCACCATGGCCTTGGGTGCTTTTGGACAAAGCTGCAGCCCTTGCAGTCTCTCTCATGCTTCACATAAACTGCAGTTCACAAAGAGACCTCCATCAGTTTTCTCTCTCTGGCCAAGTATCACTTACTCAGCCAGCCACACCCTACCCCCAGAAACTCCCACGCATATCACATCAAAACCAGCCCCTTGATCAAGCTGGAAAGAGACGATTCTGTTTCGGAAAAAATCCCCTCGCTAATGTCCAGTTTCAGCATCAGCTCTTTCTTTGTTGCCATTTTCATCATCAACATGTGTAAATATCCACACTGCCTACTCAATTGGAAAAGCCCCGAGGGACGTTTCTGTGAAACAAGAGCCAGTATCGGATGGAGATGTCCTAATAAATGAACAATGAATAAAAAAATGGACCTTTTTGAACATCCACAAATCTTAACTGCAAGTAACAGAAATACTGTAGATCATTTGAAAGAACTTGTGTTGCTGTCATGCCCACCGGAACCATTTAAATGATGGATATATGCTGGAAATATCAATAAAGTGTTTTGAAATGTTATTTTTTCACACTTAAATTATTTAGATAAAACTACTTTTGTTTAAAAAAAATATACGTGTATGTATGTATATATATACATATACATATATATATATATATATATATATATATATATATATATATATATATATATATATATATATATATATATATATATACATATACATATACAAATATATATATATATATATATATATATATATATATATATATATATATATATATATATATATATATATATATATATATACATATACATATATATATATATACATATACATATACATATATATATATATATATATACATATACATATACATATATATATATATACATATTTATATATATATATATATATATATATATATATATATATATATATATATATATATATATATATATATATATATATATATATATATATATATATATATATATATAAAAAAAAAGCATTCAACTTGGCCCAAGAAACAGTATTTGCTCCCAAATATAGATACTAGATCAATCATTTCAGATAACTACCAAGAAATGGAGGACTTCATGCATAAGTGTTTTATTTTGGATTTAAGGTCACAAACTGCTCCAAACAATCACACTTCTTCCAGTGTGTTGACTGTCAATAGGGCCTTCATTTTAGTAAATGATCATGAACCTGAGAAGGTTATTTGTGTTAATTTTTGGTTAGAGATGGATTTCACTCATTGGGCTCTTCAAATTATGCCCCTTTTTGCTCAGGCTATGTCTTTCTGTTGAATCAGGAAAATGTAAAATTCAAATAAGGCCTGCAGTGGTTAAGATGTTCCTTGACTTTCTTTAAACTGATGGATGTTGATGCACTTTAGGGAAAATTATGGGGGAATGTTCTATATTTTTGCCATTTCTGGATAATGGATATCATTATGTAGACAGCAGAGGAGAGCACAACCGAGGACGAAGAGGATCTGCCTGGATCATAGAGATGTAAGATTTTTTTTGAATTTCTTTTATCATCACTAAAGACAACCATAGAATGAAGGTTTTAGCTGAAAAGTTTGTTGGACGTTTTCTGATACCAACAGTTATATTAATGCACTGCTTGAAACTTGCTGGCAAATATATCTTTATATTCCAAAGGAAGGAAAAAACAATATTGTTTTGCTACATATTTAGAGTACTGATAAAAAAGAATCAGCCATCTTTAAGAAAACAAAAAAAGCCCTTACTTTAAAGCCATTATTACCGGTAATCAGTATTATTGG